TCAGGCTGTCCACTCACCTCAGCCTCCCAAAGTGCTGGGATTACAGGCTGAGCCACTGAACCTGGCCACTCCATCCATTTCTTACTCCACACACTCACTACACTTGTAACTCTTCATTCTGTGTCTGCTGCCCAATCATAAACTTTGTGAGGACAGGAAGCTGCTTAAACCTCCTTGTAAATTGGCAGTAACAAAATCCTCTGCCACCTAGGGCTATTTTAAAGATTGAGCAAGATAACAGAAAAAGATGAAATGATTTGATTTGTGTTGAGTATCTACCATAGGCTAGGCCTGGTCTGGAAATATAAATATATGTACCACTTGGTACATAATAACTCACTTAATCCTTCTAGCAACACTCTGAGGTAGGGACTGTCACTTTGAGGAAATCGAGGCACAGAAAGGATGGTTAGCTTGCTAATGAGTGATGAGCCTTAGAATGAGTACTCTTACCATAAACTCCCACAAGCAGAGAGAACCCCAGCGAGCCCCTGTTCCCACAGCAGGAAAAATGCTGGTAAACACATCTATTTAGCAGGGACTTCCTGCTAACTTGCCAGTGAGTCAGAATTTGAACTCAGCTGGGGCTGGCTCCACAGATCGTCCTTATGTCATCCTGCCTCTCACAGTATGAGCAGAGCCTTGGCTGGTGCCCTTGTAAAATGCTTACACGGTGTTAGCTATTATCGGACTGTCCCCTGCTGGGGCCCTTAAACAGTGCAGGACTGGACACAAGCAAGTGCTCAGTGGCTCTCTAGGCAGAACAAGGCTCAACCTTGTGGAGTCTTCCCGCCACTCCCCACCCCCTAGTAGCTGTCCCTCTGTTCACGTTGATGGGAGAATGCCATCGTGTGACTCAGCAGCTGGCAGAGGCTGCAGGGCAAGGCGTCCAGATTCGCTGCAGCTCAGGCAGGCAGGGCCGGGCCAAGAAGGACCCACCATTTGGCATCATCTTTGAGCCTCCCTGTGGCACACGGAATTTCTCCAGCTGCAGAGCTTTAAAACAGCACAGCGGCAGGCGAGTTCTTACCCTTCTTTAGAAAAGAAAAAGCATTCCTCTTTCTAGAATCCGGGTCGATTGGAAACCAGCTTCTCCAGCTCAAAAGAGGGCCTTGGCAGTTGCAAAACAAAACAAAAACAAGCTAATGGTAAGAGTACAGCAAACACATAATGTCAAGCGTGCATATGCCTACATGCATACAGGGACATGAGAGGGGAAATACTCCTAATTGTTAGTTGTGGTTACTGCATATGGGTGACAGGTAACTTAATTTTTTTCCTCTAAACTTTTTTTTTTCTTCTGCATTTCCCACATTTTCTAAAGTGACCAGTTATTGTTTGTAGAGGACAAGTTATTAAAACATAGAAAGAAACATCTGGAGAATTTCTTTCTAAAATGTTTTATTCATCTCAGCACCTTGGTTAACAAGGGCTGCAAATCTCCCCTCAAAGTCCTTGGGGTAGGAAGAGAAAAAAGAAGGAAACTCGAGGTGAAAGTGACACCGAGGGTGTGTATCTGTGGTTTCTCTGGGGCCTCGCCATGATGTGGGGACTGAAACGGGAACAGAAATCAGTCCCCATCCACCCAGCCCCATGAGTCCTGGTGCTCTCCAGGAAGGTGACACTCCTTTCTAGGTCAATCATTTCCCTGACGGGTTGTGGTGACCTCACAGGATACTCATGTTGTTTTGTTCAGTCAATGCATGTTTATATTTGCCCTTTATATTAATACTTCCTGGTGTTTGTCATTTGGTTTTTGTCTTGGGATCATTTTATTTTAGCACAGATATGTTAGCAACAAAGTCTCTTAGTTTTTACCTGGAAATGTTGTTTTTTTCCCCCCTCTACTTAAAAAAATCAACTTCATTGAAGTATAATTTCAAACAATAACATTCACAGATTTCAAGCATCTAGGTGTCTGACTTTTGACAAATTGTATATAAAGATGTATGTACTTAAATATCTGATATATATGTACATCTATGTAGAAAGAGAGAAAACCCTGCGATCAAGATATAAAACATTTCTATCTCCCCAGAAATTTCCCTTATTCCTCTTTTTTTTTTTTTTTTTTTGACAAGGTCTCACTCTGTTACCTTGGGGTACATACAGTGGTGCCATCATGGCTTACTGCAGCCTCAAACTCCTGGGCTCAAGTGAATCTCCCACCTCAGCCTTACGAGTAGCTAGGCCTACCAGCACACACCACCATGCCTGGCTAATTTTTAACTTTTTTGTAGAGATGGGGGTCTTATGATGTTGCCCAGACCAGTGTCAAACTCCTAGCCTCAAGCCATCCTCCTGCCTCAGCCTCCCAAAGCTCTGGGATTGTGGGCGTGAACCACCATGCCTGGCCTCCCTCATTCCTCTTTGCAGTCAGTTTCTCCCCACTCCCATCTCCCCACAACCACTGAGCTGATTTCTAGATCAGATTTTCAGAATCATATGCATGAAACCGTTCACCACATACTTTTTTGAGACTAGTTTCTCTCACATGGTATCTGCTGTCTTCATTTGTGCGGTATTCTTATTTAATTCATGCTTAATGTTGAACAGTATTCTACGGCATGACTGTCCCACACTCTGTTGATTCATTCACTCATAGCTCTCCTCTGTGGGAACCACAAGTTACTCCATCATCATCAACATTGCTAGGAGTGGAAGTCCCTTGTTTTAAAAAGCAAAACAAAACAATTGTCAGAACCCTGATTCTTTTCAAAAGGCGGATTTCTAGAAGGGGAAGTCACTAAATAGAAACTTTTCACAGGCTGTTGACACATACTGTCAAATGGCCTTCCAGAGGCTTCGGCAGATTTACGTTCCTCCCCGTGGTATATGAGAGTCCTGACTCACCATACATCAACAGCATTTTTCTATCTTACTTTCTGATCTTGGCGAGTCTGCAAAACTGCCAAATTGTATGCAATTGCTGAAAGGAATTTTACCTTGAGTATAAACCAGTAGGTCCAGTACTTATTTTCTGTGTTTGTGGAATTATCAGTGACCTCACTTCTTTAACTCTGTCTTATTGACTTTCTGCTGAAACTGATCTAAAAAGCTAATTCGGGTCATTCCTGGTATCAGTATTTCAAAATGGAAATCTGCGATGGGGGAGAAAGGAATTTTTATGTCTCCCTATCCCAGCTTCGAGTGACTGACTGCTCGAGTGCTGGGTCATCCAACTCAGTGACCACTGGCCATGTGTGGCTCCTAGACACTTGATATGTGGTTGGTCCAAATTGAGATGTGCTGTAAGTATAAAACACACGGCAGATTTCAGAACCTTAGTATAAAAAAAAAGAACATAAGATAGTTCATTCGTTTTACATTGACGGTATTAAAATAATATTTTGAACATATTAAGTGAAATATACCATTAAAATTAATTATGTCTGTTTATTTTTACTTTTATTAGTGTGGCTACTTGAAAACTTAAAATTGTCATGAGGTTTGTGTTTAAAAAAAATTTTTTTTTGACACAGGGTGTTACTGTGTCAACCAGGTTGGAGTGCGGTGGCCCTGGCCCAACCTCAGTCTTCCTTTTGCTGGGAAAGGAGGAGCAAATCCCCTTCATCAACTGGACCCACCCTTTACCAGGTAAAGAAAGTAAAGGATCTCCTCTCAGGGCTGGAATCCCTGGCTCTCTGGTGTGGTGGCTGGTGACAGATGCTCAGGGACTTGGAATTTGTTGACAGTGTCCCATGGTATGGGTTTGGTCTACTCTTGGATTCTGTTTACCAGGGCACTGCAGTTTCAGTTTCCTCTGCCGACTTCCACACCTTGTTGAATTCCTGCTGAATCGAGCTAACTCTGCCCACCTGATTAAATCTCAAACCAGGGCTCTGGAGATCATGAAGCATCCTGCTTGCCAAGTGGCTGACGTGTCCTGTGTTGCTTTATTTAGGTGGCCACAAATCAGGAGACTTTCCTTAAGTTTCTGTCTTTGGGGGTAGGAAGTGGCAATGTCTGTGGAGGTTATTACAGGAAAAGTCTGGGAAAAAAAGTCACTGTTTTTTGTGGGAATCACAGGCTTGAAAGAGACAGAAGCAGTGAGTAAAATGGCCCCTCTCGGTGGACAGCCAGGGCTTAGGAGGGGAGGGAAGGAAATTGACGTGCATTACCAGCATTCTACAGGATGGCACATGGCATTATGACATGCCAAATCACAAAATGAGGAAGTAGCTTCCTTTCCAGTTTTCTCTCAGACTTATGATTCTCTTAAAGAGGAAGTCTCAGTTCTGTGCTACTATGTTTCTGACATCTCTCAAATACCTCTAAGAGAAAACAGGTCTCAAACCTAAAGTCTTGTCAGGCCATAATACTACCTGGAATACGATACCATCGTTTTATTTCTGGTAAATTTACTTTTGCATCACTTTCTATTTATTGCAAGTGATTTTTTTGTTTCCAATGGTGACATAAAATTGCCTCTAAAATGAATATATTAGAGTTTTAAAAAAACAATTAAAAGCAAAAAGTTAAGCAAATAAAGCGCAGGTGAGACTCAATTATGTCAAGAACAACAACAAAAAAGTTGGGAATGTCTGTCATTTAGAAAACACCAGTCTAAAAGAGGAAGGTAGAGTATTCTGAGGTCTGAGAATTCTGGACTTAAAAGTGATCCTGTCGCCGATTTCATTCATTCATTAAACTTTCTTTTCTTTTTTTTTTTGAGTTGGAGTCTCACTCTGTCACCCAGACTGGATTGCAGTGGCACGCTCCTGGCCACGGCAGCCTCGACCTGCTGGGCTCTGGCGATCCTTCCTCAGCCTTCCAAGTAGCTGGAACTACAGGTGCGCACTACCACGCTCGGCTAATATTTTTGATTTATTGTAGAGATGCGGTCTTGTCAAGTTGCCCAGGTGGGTCTCAAACCCGCGGGCTCAGGCAATCCACTCACCTCTGCCTCCCAAAGTGTGGGATTACACCGAACCCGGCCTTAAACTTTCTTTTCTTTGATTTTGCAGATTCCAGAAAGAAATTAAAAATTGAAGCTTTAAGGAATGTTGCTTTAGAGTTCTGACTTACTTCAGAGAGTGATGCTGGAAACTTAATAAGGTATTATTTGTGATCCCTTTGCCTGGAAATTCATTTTCCATGCTCTAAGTTTGAGTCTGTGGGCATCCTTTGTGGCAAGAAGAGTTTCTTGGAGACAGCATATTACTGGGTCATGGTTTTTAATCCAGTTTTCCATTCTGTGTCTTTTCAGTGGTACATTTAGTCCATCCACATTTAGGCTGCTTATTGAAATGTGAGAGTTTGTCCCTGTCATAATGCTCTTATAAGGCTGTTTTAGCTTTTGTGTTCTTATATGTGTATGTTTTCATTTTTGTGAGTATGCTGTGTGTTTTGCTGCTTCTGTGTCTATTTGTGATCTTGAGGCATATGGGCTTTCTTTTGTTTCTTTTTTCTTCTGTGCACAGCACCTTTTAGAGCATCTCCTGTAGGCTAGTCTCCAAGCAGCATATTTTTTTAGGGATTGAATGCCTAGGAAGGATTTTAATTCTCCTTCACTGATGAAGCTTAGCCTGGCTGGGTAGGAAATTTTTTTTTTTTTTGAGTTGGAGTCTCACTCTGTTGCCCAGACTGGAATGCAGTGGCCGCTCCCGGCCACAGCAGCCTTGACCTGCTGGGCTCCGGCGATCCTTCCGCCTCAGCCTTCTGAGTAGCCGGAATTACAGGCATGCGCTACCACATCCGGCTGATTTTTTGATTTATTGTAGAGATGAGGTCTCGCTGCCCAGGCGGGTCTCGAACCCGCGGGCTCAGGCAATCCATTTACCTCAGCCTCCCAAAGGCGCGGGATTACAGGCTGAGCCACCGAGCCTGGCTTGGGTAGGAAATTCTTGGTTGAAATTGTTTATCTCTGAGAACATTAGAGATTGGGGTCCAGTTCCTTCTGGCCTGTAGTGTTTCTGCAGATAAGTCTGCAGCAATTCTGATTAGTCTCCCTTGGTAGGTATAATAAGGTATTATGAACCCCTAATTTAAGTGCAGTATTATCATCTAGTATGTCTAGGGGAACCCATTTTCTAAAGCTGTGGATCCTAAAGTGGGTCACAGAATTGACCACAGTAGAAAAGGCAGAATTAGCATCTAAAAGATCAGCAACTTTGAGTAGAATATAGCAACTGACAGTCATTTTCACCCCTTAACATTCTTTTTGGTGAGAATCCCTGACCCCTCTCTGTTGCTTGGAATGTTAAATTGTGCTGTTACTTGCTCAACTACTTAGGTTCTCAGAGGGAAGTTATTGTGTGGGGTCCGGCCAGGAAGCTCTATATGGTTTGCAGTGTTTAGCAATTTGATAGATGAAAAAAGAAAAAATGGAGGAGTGTCAGGGAGGATACTCACATGTGACTTGGTGGAAAAAAAATTGAGAACCACTGGACTTGACTGCGAACAGATGTGGCTTGTGAAACATGTTAGTGATATCAACAGTATTAAAAGATCTATGAAATTATTATTATTATAATCAGGATTAGACTCTGTCACCCAGTCTGGAGTCCAGTGGCACAATCACAGCAGACTCGACCTCTGGGCTCGGGTGATCCTTCCACCTCAGCCTCCTGAGTAGCTGAGACTACAGATGAACACGTCCTGCTTATTTTTGACTTTTTATAGCAATGAGGTCTTGCTGTGTTGCCTGGGCTAGTCTTGGATTCCTGGCTCAAGTAATCCGCCTGCCTCGGCCTGCCAAAGTGCTGGGATTACAGGCATATGTCAACGTGCCTGGCCTATTAAATTATTTTGGGCTCAACAAACTATCTTTGAAATGTGTAGGTTTTCCTACCTACACAGTAGACAAAATGGCTGTCCCTGTTCTTTCCATCTCCAAGATTATAATTTATTCTACATATAAGGGTGACTGGAGAAGCGGCTGAAGGCTCTTATATGGGTTTTTTGGTTGTTGTTACCAAAAGAGCAAATCAGTGCAGTTATGGGATAACCCAGATGGATCCAAGTTATTTTTTAATACTTCAGTCCCTGTGCCTACCCTGACATGCACAAGGTTTTCAGGATTTTCAGGAAGATTCGATTGCCATCTAATACTGGGAACTCCATGCCAACTCTCCCTCTTGCCTCCTGCACCTCAGCCCTCCCTCTGTCCCCTTCATGCCACATGTGGCCACTGTATCTTCTTTGTTCCCCAGGGTGCTTGCATATAACAGACTTTGGAAAGGGGTGGAGGGGTACACAGCACAACCCAGAATGGGGAATAGCGACTAGGATATCACTAGCCTCAGATTCTTTGGCTCTGGCTACCACAGGGGGCTTCTTGCTGGCTGTCTCTCTCCTCAGGCTGTTTTGTGCCCTTACCCTCTTTCCCACCAATCCCACGGGTCCTCTGGTCTAGATTCTGGGCCCTCTCCCCGCTTGCGGGGGATGCAGAAACCTCCCATCCCAGGTGACCTCGTTATGTAAAGTAACACATCTTTCCATCTCTATGCCAGTCTAGGATCAAGGCATACTTTTAGTTTTTTAAAATAATAATACTACTTGCCAGGCTTGGTGGCTCAGCCTGTAATCTCGTGCCTTTGGGAGGCTGAGGTGAGTGGATTGCCTGAGCCTGTGGGCTCGAGACCCGCCTGGGCAGGCAAGACCTCATCACAATAAATTTTAAAAAATAGCCAGGCGTGGTAGCGTGCGCCTGTAGTTCCACTACTTGGAAGGCTGAGGCGGAAGGATCGCCGGAGCCCAGCAGGTTGAGGCTGTGGTGGCCGGGCGTGGCCACTGCACTCCAGTCTGGGCGACAGTGAGACTCCAACTCAAAAATAAAATAAAATAAAATAATAATACTAATTAAGAAGTTTTACTAAACAAACGGGTTGTCTGCCTCTGGTCACCTACCCTAGTCAAGTAGCCCACAAGCAGAAGCAGTTATTTTTTTTTCTTTAGTACATCTCAGATGAAAGTCTTAAGCATGGCTCCCTCCTGCTATAAGTAGAGAAACCCCAGGATCAATGGGAGGGGGAGGGAAGTCCTCTTGTGGCTTTTGCTTTGTTGATGATTTCATTGATCTCTTCAGGGGCTGCACTGAGAGGCTGGACCCCCGGAGGGCTGGCCCCAAATCCTGACTGCCCTTCTTCTAGGAGGACACACGCAACTGAAGATGAATTGGGAAAAAGTAGCTACTTGTTACTTTAACTATGGAAAAGCAGGGCCACGGTGAGATGGAAATAATCTCCCCAGATTCTCGCTCCCGCATTAAGTTGCTGAAAATCAACCGGGAACTTCTGGTCACCCACATCCATAACACTCAGTGCCTGGTGGACAACTTGCTGGAGAATGACTACTTCTCAGCTGAAGATGCGGAGATCGTGTGTGCCTGCCCCACCCAACCCGACAAGGTGCCCCAGTGAGAGGAGTGGGCCTTGGCAGTGTGTGAACCCTGGTAGCTAGAAGAGGCTTCTCTCTACTGGCTCCAGGAAGAGTTTTGGGAGTGTAGTGCATTGGGCAGAATTTCACGTTGAGGGTTTTGATAGAACATAAATACCCAAGTTATCGGCATATTGTACAATCAATTTCTCTTCTGGATCTGCGTCTAAAGCAAATACCTCAGTTCTCATTGCCGTGTGTATGGGTTCCCAGAGACTTCTTTTATTTTTATTTTATTTTATTTTAAAGATGTGGGGTACAATTCAGGGTTAGGTATACAAATGTTCATTATGCAGGTACCCCTGTTGATGAAGTGTGCCGCTCCCTCCCTTGGCAGTTTGAGACTTCTTTTTATATCCACTTTAAAGTAGGAAGAGGAAAAAGAGCACAAAACACTAGCAGTGATGTTCCCTCCGTGTCTTTGAGCTCTGGAGGGCTGCTCATTGCTGGGTAAGACACAGATGGGCAGTGCCTCAGATTCTGGAATGACTATATCCTAGGCGGGTCCACAGTAAAGGACTTTTCACATCCCCCTAGAGGAAGGCTTAGCAGCCCTCAGCTTCACTTAAGCTTTGTGTCATATTCTCAAACATAAAATTGAGGCCAAAAACTCCTTTGGTTACAGGAATGACAGAGCCTATTTGTGATATGATCCAGCTGGGGCTCAGAAGAGACCAGAACAGTTTCTGGGGAAAGCCCACTCGCACACTTGTATGCTTTGTCTCCTCTCTTGATTTTAGTTTCTGGCATTTTTTTTTGAGTTGGAGTCTCACTCAGTTGCCCAGACTGGAGTGCAGTGGCCGCTCCCAGCCCCCACAGCCTCGACCTACTGGGCTCCGGCGATCCTTCCCCCTCAGCCTTCCAAGTAGCTGGAACTACAGGCGTGCGCTACCACGCCCGGCTAATTTTTTGATTTATTGGAGAGATGAGGTCTCGCCAAGTTGCCTAGGTGGATGGCGAACCCGCGGGCTCAGGCAATTCACTCACCTCGGCCTCCCAAAGTACGGGATTACAGGCTGAGCCACCGAGCCTGGCTCTGGCATTTTTAATAAGAAAAAAAATCCATTTGTAACATATTACTTATGAGGGTCTGTCATCCTCTTGTTGTGTGGCTACTATGTCCCACCTCATTGGGCCCAAGGGGTGATTTATCTTCTCTTCATACTCATTCCTGGACCACAGTAGTGTCAGGTTAAGAGGGAAACGGAGACAAAGACAGAATTCCATGGGTGACATGGCCCTGGTTAGAGTCTGACCTTCTTCTTTTTAGGCTCATGGAAGACTCCTGGTTTGTTAGAGCTGTGTGGTTTTATTTCTCGCTAAGGGGTTCCATTGCACAGATTCCAGGCCCCTAGCATGTTGAATCTCACAATGGCTGGGTGGATGTTCAAGCTCCTGGGTGTAGTAAGAGCTTGGAGCCCTGCCTAAGCCTGCCTGGGGGTCTTTCGGGTCGGAGGATGCCCCTTATCCCAGCTCATGTCCCCATGTTTGTACCGCCACCAGGTCCGCAAGCTTCTGGACCTGGTACAGAGCAAGGGTGAGGAGGTATCCGAGTTCTTCCTCCACGTGCTCCAGCAACTCACAGATGCCTTCGTGGACCTCAGGCCTTGGCTGTTGGAGATCGGCTTCTCCCCTTCCCCGCTCATTCAGAGCAAAGCAGTAGTCAACACGGACCCAGGTATGAGGCAGCCCTGGGGACCACAGGCACCAGTGCAGGCCAGGCTCTGGGGTCGGGAGAGGCTGGAGCGGTTAGACCCAGCCAGGCCTGCATCTCACTTTAGGAAGCAGACCCAGGGGCTATTTTCATTTAGAAAGGAAGAGCTGGGCTGGGCTCAGTGGCTCAGTCTGCAATCCTAGCAATTTGGGAGGCCGAGGTAAGTGGATTGCCTGAGTCCACAGGTTTGAGACCAGCCCAGGCAATGTGGCAAGACCTCCTCTCTACAATAAATCAATAAATTAGCCAGGTGTGGTAGCGCACGCCTGTAGTTCCAGCTACTTGGAAGGCTGAGGCAGAAAGGTCACTGGAGCCTAGCAAGTCGATGCTGGGGTGTCTGTGAGTGTGTCACTGCTTTCCAGCCTAGGAGATGGAGTGAGATTCCAACTCAAAGAAAGAAAAAAGAAAAGAAGAGAAGAGCTGGTCCCTGTCACCCACATGCAGCCCAGGTGGCCAAGACTGAACTGACTACATGTAGCAGTCTGGTTTATACAGGGGCCTGTGGAAGTGTGTGAATGGCCTCTCTTCCGATTTCTTGCTTCCTTCCTCTTCCGACATACATGAGCGTTTTAATGGTTGCACAAATTCAAGGTTTTATTTTATTTTTTCCTTTCAAAAATCTTTCTAGATTTGGTTCTAGGTCAAGTACTTTTCCATCACCCCTGGGTGCCTATCTTTGTTTCCAAAGCACCCTTGAGAGACCCCATTAGTCAACTGATGAGTTCAACAGGTGTTTTTGCTGTACCCACCACATGCCAAGGCACAGTGCTGGATGTGAGGGAGACAGTGGTGAAAGGCACTGAGTGGGGTCCTGCCCACAGGAAGCTGAGTCTGCTGGAAGGTGCCACCACTGCATAATCTCACAAATGTGTCCTTGCAGATGGCAGTCAGGGCGGCTGCAGTTTTAGGCATGTGAGAGCATGTAATTGGGCCAGGATCGGCTCTGAGGATCTTTCTGGACCTGGCGCAGAGCAAGAACAAGTCATCTTTCCTTGCTTTTGAACTGGAGACAGCTATTGGCAATATGTCACCTCCAAGGGCCCAAACAATGGCCCATTCATGCATTAATTAATTAATTAATTATTTATTTATTTGAGACCGCACCGCACTCACTGCTGCCTTGACTTCCTGGGCCTAAGAGATACTTCCACCTAAGCCTCCTGGGTAGCTGGGACTACAGGCATGCACCACCATGCCTGGCTAATTTTTTGTAGAGATGTGGTCTTAGCATGTTGCCAAGGCTAGTCTCAAACTCCTGGGCTCAAGTGATTCTCCTGCCTTGGCCTCCCAAAGTGTTGAGATTACAGGTGTGATCTACCATACCCAATTCCAAACAATGACTTTTATAGAATCCAGTTTGACCTCGGAAACAGAAGCAAAGGACAGTGTCCTAGAGAGTCAGGTCTATGTTTAGGGAAAACAAGGCCAATCAGCAGAGTGTCAGGGCCACACTCTGGCTTCCATGGTCCTTGCAGGTACCCACCAGCCACTGCCAGCTTCTTACTCTGACTGTGCTTTCCTGCCTCATCTCATTTCCTTCCCTCTTGAAAAAAAGAAAAATATTCCCATGAGGAACCGTTCCTTCAAAACGCTTCTCTGGGCCAGATATGGTGGCCCACATCTGTAACCCTAGCACTTTGGGATGGAAAGGCAGGAGGATCCCTTGAGGCAAGTAGTTTGAGACCTGCCTGGGCAACATAGCAAGATGTCCTCTCTACAAAAAAATAACAATAAAAAAGTTAACTGGGTGCAGTTGTATACCTATAGTCCTAGCTACTCAAGAGGCTGAGGCAGGAGGATCACTTGAGCCCAGGAGGCTGCAGTAAGCTACGTTTGCACCAATGCACTCCAGCCTAGGCAACAGAGCAAAACCCTGTCTGTAAAAACAAATAAAACAAAAATACTTCTGTTGGTTCCTTTAACCAGCTTTTAAAGTATAACTCACTCTACAAGAAACCACACACGAAATTCCATTTATATGAAATGTCTAGAAAAGGCAAATTTATAGACAAAGCAGGCCCAGGGTGGGGGCAGGGATTGTCTGCACGCAGGCTCCAGAGAAATCTAGGAGGAAGATGGGTGTTTTAGAACTGAATTATGGTGAGGTTTGCACAACTTTGGAAATTTACCAAGAATCATTGAGTATTATATAACCTGAGTGAATTTTATGGCATATAAATTATGCTTCAATAAAACTGTAAAAAAAATACAGTTCACTTTACAAATTTGAGATAACAAAGTTGGACTAAGTTGGTAAGAATGGGTTATAGATAAATCTGGAAACGTGCTTGCATGTCTAATTTTTGTTAATTGAATTAAAATTAACCCATACCTATTTTATTTTATTTTATTTATTTTTTTGAGTTGGGCTCTCTGTCACCCAGGCTGGAGTGCCATGGCACCATCAATGGCTTACCACAGCCTCAACCTCCTGGGCTCAGGCAATCCTTCCACCTCAACCTCCTGAGTAGCTGCAACTACAGGTGTGTGCCACCACATCTGGCTAATTTTCAAAATTTTTTTATTTGTAGATATGAGGCCTCAGTATGTTGTCTAGGCTGGTCTCAAACTCCTGGGCTCAAGCAATGCTCTTATCTTGGTCTCCCAAAGTGCAAGGATTACAGACATGAGCTACTGCACTCAGCCTCCAAAAACTATCTTTTTTTTTGAGTTGGAGTCTCACTCTGTCGTCCAGACTGGAGTGCAGTGGCCGCTCCCGGCCACTGCAGCCTCAGCCTGCTGGGCTCCAGCGATCCTTCCGCCTCAGCCTTCCGAGTAGCCGGAATTACAGGCATGCGCCACCACACCCAGCTGATTTTTTGATTTATTGTAGAGATGAGGTCTCACTGCCCAGGCGGGTCTCGAACCCGCGGGCTCAGGCAATTCACTCACCTCAGCCTCCCAAAGGCGCGGGATTACAGGCTGAGCCACCGAGCCCGGCTCAAAAACTATCTTAAAGGAACTTGTGGGACATCCTTTTGTTTGAGAAAGAACCACCTCCCTTTCCGTGTAAGTCCCATTTTTGCCCCACAGATTTGCTGGGAGCGTGACGCCCACATGGACGTGTTAGGTGTCTTCTCCCCCGTGGGTAGTATGGGGCTGCCCTCTGGTGTGTGCCAGGCATCCATGATGGAAGGTCCTGGGCCTGGGAGCCAGGCTGTCGTGCTCTGTTTAGGGTGGGGCTGGTTTTCACTGGCTTACTCAGCTTTGCAGTGTCTGAGATGAAAAACAGCTGCTTTGTAACCCAGTGCTGTATCTCACCACCAAAGCTTTTGGCATCTGGTTTTCCTGAAATTAACAGTTGTTTTAAGAGCGGTATTCGAAGCACAAGAAAGGCTAGAGGCATTTCTTCCTCAAGGATAAGACCTTCCATGGGGACTGGCTCCTGCTACTTGAATAAGACCCTGGGGGCCAGACGTGGTGGCTTGCCTGTAATCCCAGCACTCTGGAAGGCCGAGGTGAGAGGATGGCCTGAGCCGAGGGGTTCAAGACTAGCCTGGGCAACATAGTGAGACCTCATCTCTACAATAAGTAAAAAAATTAGCCAGGCACGGTGGCACATGCCTGTAGTCCCTGCTACTTGGGAGGCTGAGGCAGAAGGATCGCCTGAGTCCGGGAGATTGAGGCTACAGTGAGCTATGACGGTGCCACTGCACTCCAACCTGGGCAACAGAGACTCTGACTCAAAAAAACAAAAAAACTAGGAAGGTTGGGCCTGCCCAGTAGCTCAAGTGTGAGTGGGCTTCAGTTTTTAGCGGCAATTCCGTGACAACATTGCAGGGAAAACAGGGAGGCCTGTCCCAGAAGCCCATCCCCGGCGAAGTCTGTGGCTCTCTGGCTAAACCTGAGGTCACGCAGACGGGAGCCCGGGCTCCTCTGCTGGCTCCGTGAGGCTCCCCAGAGCCCCAAGGGCGGGGTGGTCGCGCTCAGGCAGCAGTTTAGTTTGCCCGCGTGCCCCTCTTCCCTGCGTGACGCGGTTTCCTCCCGTCTCCCCTCCCCCTCCCGGCCACCCACCCTCAGTGAGCAGGTACACCCAGCAGCTGCGCCACCACCTGGGCCGCGACTCCAAGTTCGCGCTGTGCTACGCCCAGAAGGAGGAGCGGCTGCTGGAGGCCATCTACGTGGACACCGTCATGGAGCTGGTGGGCTTCGGCCACGAGAGCCTGGGCAGCCTGGGCAGCCTGGCTTGCCTCCTGGACCACACCTCGGGCGTCCTCAACGAGCAGGGCGAGACCGTGTTCGTCTTCGGCGACGCCGGGGTGGGCAAGTCCATGCTGCTGCAGCGGCTGCAGAACCTCTGGGCCACGGGCCGGCTGGACGCGGGGGTCAAGTTCTTCTTCCACTTCCGCTGCCGCATGTTCAGCTGCTTCAAGAAGAGCGACACGCTGTGTCTGCAGGACCTGCTCTTCAAGCACTTCTGCTACCCGGAGCAGGAGCCCGGGGAGGTGTTCGCCTTCCTGCTGCGCTTCCCCCACACGGCCCTCTTCACCTTCGACGGCCTGGACGAGCTGCACTCGGACTTGGACCTGAGCCACGTGCCGGACAGCTCGTGCCCCGGGGAGCCCGCGCACCCCCTGGTCCTGCTGGCCAGCCTGCTCAGCGGGAGGCTGCTCCGGGGCGCCGGCAAGGTGCTCACGGCCCGCACGGGCACCGAGGTCCCGCGCCGGCTGCTGCGGAAGAAGGTGCTCCTGCGGGGCTTCTCCCCCAGCCACCTGCGCGCCTACGCGCGGAGGATGTTCCCGGAGCGCGCGCTGCACGAGCGCCTCCTGGAGCAGCTGGAGGCCAACCCCAACCTCTGCAGCCTGTGCGCCGTGCCCCTCTTCTGCTGGATCTTCTTCCGGTGCTTCCGGCACTTCCAGGCCACCCTGGACGGCTCGCCGCGCCTGTCCGACCGCGCCGTGACGCTGACCGACGTCTTCCTGCTGGTCACCGAGGTGCACCTGAACAGGGCGCAGCCCCGCAGCCTGGTGCAGCGGAACACGCGCAGCCGGGCCGCGACCCTCCGGGCCGGCCGCGACACGCTGTGCGCGCTGGGGCAGCTGGCCCGCTGGGGCACGGAGAGGAGCCTCTTCGTCTTCGGCCAGGAGGAGGTGCGGGCCTCCGGGCTGCAGGAGGGAGACCTGCAGCTGGGCCTCCTGCGGGCGCTGTGGGAGCCGGGCCCCGGAGGGGACGAGCCGGCCTACGAGTTCTTGCACCTCACCCTCCAGGCCTTCTTCACGGCCTTCTTCCTCGTGCTGGACGACAGGGTGGGCACCCGGGAGCTGCTCCGGTTCTTCCAGGAGTGGGCACCGCCTGGGGAGTCGGAGGCCGTGTCCTGTTATCCCCCCTTCCTCCCTCTCCAGTGCCTGGGGCGCAGCAGCCTGGCCAAGGAGGACCCCTTCAAGAAGAAGGACCACTTTCAGTTCACCAACCTCTTCCTTTGCGGGCTGCTATCCAAGGCCCAGCAGAAGCTTCTGCGGCACCTGGTGCCCGAGGCGGCCCTGAAGAGGAAGCGCCGGGCCCTGTGGACGCACCTGTCGTCCAGCCTGCGGTCCTACCTGAAGAGCCTGCCCCGAGTCCACAGCGACGGCTTCAGCCAGGTGCAGGCCATGCCCACCTTCCTCTGGATGCTGCGCTGCATCTTCGAGACGCAGAGCCAGAAGGTGGGGCAGCTGGCGGCCAGGGGCATCTGCGCCAACTACCTCAAGCTGACCTACTGCAACGCCTGCTCGGCCGACTGCAGCGCCCTGTCCTTTGTCCTGCACCACTTCCACAAGCGGCTGGCCCTGGACCTGGACAACAACAACCTCAACGACTACGGTGTGCGCGAGCTGCAGCCCTGCTTCAGCCGACTCACCGTGGTCAGGTGAGGCCACCGGGGGCGGGGCTCAGGGCCACCCGGATTGGCGTCGTGGACCCGGGTTCCCTGTATCGGCAGTGATCCTAGGACCCGTGGCCATGGGTCTTGGGGCGTCTGGACCTCTTCTCTCTCGGGGTGGCAGAGGACAAGGGGCAAGCCTTCGAGTCGGGGGATCAGCCCCAGCCGGTGCCCTTGAGCACAGTGCTTGACCTCTCTGAGCCCCTGGGAAAAGGAGATGCTTACGATCCTCGCAGTTCTAGTCGTGACAGTCAGCATTTACTGAGAACAGGTGAGGTGCGTGGTAAATGTTCCCTAATTCCATGGTCTTAACAACCCTATAGGTACCATTACTGTCTCCATTTTGGCAAACGGGGAAGCGGAGGCACAGAGGAGTTAATAATTTGCTCCGGGTCACACAGCGAGGACATGGTGGAGCTCGAATGCATAAGGAACCTACCTTTGAAGATGAGTGTAAGGCACAGAGACAGGCCTCAGAAAGTTTCTGGCACAGGGCAGCTTTTATGATTGCAGAGACAGCCGACCTTGTGCTAATTGGCATTAGTTACTTTCCATGCTCAAAGCCAGCGGCAGCCCCGCGCACTGCCAGAGATCTCGGTCGAAACGCTGACTCGTGCTTATTTTCCTGTTCAGTGGTTCAGAGGAAAGAGAGGCCAGTCTGCTTTCTTCTATTAGCATTTCCTGTATAAAATAAGCCTTGTAAATCTCTACAGGGGCTTAAATTCTCCATTACTTGGCTCATGCATTTCCGAAGAGCAGCAGGGATTTGGAACAGACTCCCCGTGTCTGTTACAGCAATGCCAGGGTGTAAGCTGCACGGGCCGGGGCTGTCCTGGCCTGCACACTGGAAGCCCAGAGTCTGTTCTCTGCATTCTCGGCCAGTGTAGACCCAGGCAGTGTCACACCCACGGTCACCTTGTGTCCATCTCAGAAAAGGGAAACTGCACCAGTGAGTGATCCTGCCCCATCCTGCTGTCCTCAGGTGAAGTTTTCCTCCTTGTCAGTGAGAGAAAAGCAGTTCACAGAAGAGTGGGAGGCTATGGAAAACCACAGGGAGATCTTCAGCTTTCTGCCAGCATCAGCTAGGAGTCGTTTTGGCTGAGTAGAGAAAATGCAAAATCTTGGTGGCTTAAATAAGTTACAAGATTAGTTCTCTTATGCAAAAGTCTAGGGGTAGGCAGTCCAGGACTGGTATGGTGTCTCCATGCACACCAGGAGCCCAGGCTCTCTTTTGTCTTGCTGCTCTGCCATCCTCACAACCCGACTTTCACCACTTGGCCCAGGGTGGCTGCTCAAGCTCCAGCCATCTAGTCAACATTCCAGCTACCAGGAAGAAGGAAAGAAAAAGAAGAGCACACTAATTTTTTAAGACTTCTCAGCTATTTCTAATGATACTGCTGCTTAGATTTCACTGGGCAGAACTTAATCGTATGAGCCCAGCTGAAAAATGGAGGATTCTGTTGCTAAGAAAGCATAGATATTAGGACTGCCTGATAGCCTCTGCCATCTGGGCTGACCATGCAATGTACATACACACTGTGCCCCAGCACCACACTGGGCACGATGTGGGAAGGGTCCAGAGTGTCTGACCCGATCACTGTGATGTGGCCTAAAAACCAAGCATTTACCTGTTTTCAGCCTTTGACTTATGCCAGAAGTCAGCGTGCAGGTGAAACTCGGCCTGTGGCTTGTGTTTGCGAGTAGTTTTATTGGAGAACAGCTGCACCTGGGTACTGACTACTGGCAGCTTCACGTGATGGGCGAGTAGTGGTGTCAGGGACCGTATAGCCCACAGAGCCTGAAATGCTTGCTATCTGACACTTTGCAGAACCACGTGAGCGGCCTCCCTTGACAGGAGGACCTGGGACCTCTTCCAGTGGCAAGTCAGGTTTAGCACATACATTTCCAATTGGGGAGGCTGTTGGCATTTGGGGTGCGACAGTTCTTGGGCCTGTCCTGCACCTTGTAGGACACCTAACATCACAGGTCTCACCTGCAAGATGACAGGGCGTTCCCTCCCCCAGTCACAATAACCATACAAGCGGCTTCTCACACTTCCAAACCCCTGCCCCCTGCTAGACAATGAGAACCACAGGCAGGGTCTGGCTGCACATGGTACACACACAAATGAGGGATCTTAGAGGTGGCTGGCCTCACGCGTCCACATGTGTCTCCCGTGGCCTGTGGGATGAGCCAGGTGTGTGCCAGCCTTGCTGGTGGGCCAGGATGGGGTGGGTTTGGCGGCCCCATGGTGGCCAGGCTTTTCAGGGGCTATTTGGTGACTGTTACGGCCATTCTCCAGGGAGTATGTATAGCTGGGGACACTCCAGGGTCTGTAGGCTTCTGGATCTTTCTTTTTAGAGTCAATCCTCCTTCATTATGAGCAGCTGCCCTGATGCATAATTTTCCTCACTGTTCTGTTTCAGACTCAGCGTTAACCAGATCACTGACGGTGGGGCAAAGGTGCTGTGTGAGGAGCTGACCAAATACAAGATCGTGACATATTTGGGGTATGTCTTTCTCAAGAACTCTGGGCTCGCTCCTTAGCAATAATTCAGAGCAGTAGGAAATGTTCATTCATGTGGATCACCGGGTGATTGACGTGGTGGCCCCAGGCCTGGAAGAGCACTAGATCAGGAGATAGGAGTCCTGGGTTCTGTTCTTGGCTCGGCCAGTCATGAGGTCTCACTAAGCCTCAGCCTCCTCACTTAGAAAATTGGGGTCCTCGTAGGCAAGTAGTTTTACAACTGGTTATTGCAGAGAGAGAAAACGTGGGCATGTGTTTCATGAACGTTAGAATCTTGTTCTAGTCTTTACTGTTGTGGGTTCATAATCCCTCATCCAGAACCCTCAAGGCAAGACAGGAACCAGGATTCAGAGCACAGGCTACACAGGAGAGATGCGGCCACATAGGTCTAGGCAGTACCCCGTTCTTAAATACTTCAAGACTTCTGCCACAAAATGTGTGACTATTCAAACCAAGCAGGGTAAATAAAGCCCATAAGTAGCTCCATACCCAGTTGCCAAAAGAATTGTGAACTACTTGGGCTGTTCAGAACCTTTGGGACTTTGGAGTTTGAGGTGAGGGGGCTCACGGGGGCTGGTTCGGCCATCCCTTAGCTCTGGGAGCTGGGCAGTTGTACTGCTTCTTTGGGTCTCAGTGGCCTCCACTATAAGTGGAGGACGTGGAAGCAAAGGATTCTCAGCTACCCCTCAGCTCCGGAGCTCTGTGTGACAGGGGAGCCCTCGAAACCTCAGTTTAGGGACTTCTTTCACCCTCTTTCTGCCTTGCCATTGAGTTGGCGTTGAGTGGAGAGATGGCTGAAAGGCAGACACTGGTAGGTTAAAGATTCAGGGAGAAGCTGGGTGCAGTGGCTCATGCCTGTAATACCAGCCCTTTGGGAGGCCGAGGTGGGAGGGTCACTGGAGCCCAGGAGTTTGAGACCAGCCTGGGCAACATAGCAAGCACTAACTCATCTCTACAAAAAATTAAGAAGTTAGCTGGGTGTGGTGGCACACACCTGTAGTCTCAGGAGGCTGAGGTGGGAGAATCTCCTGAGTTCAGGAGTTGAAGGCTGTGGTGAGCCGTGATCATGCCACTGCACTTCAGCCTGGGCAAAAAGAGAGAGACCCCCAACTCAAAAAAACAAACCAGAGAGAGATGCTGAATGAAATCTCAATTGAGTAAATACCCACCGCTTGCCAGTCATTGAGCATTCATATGTCAGCACTTTGCATCTGTTGTATGATCCTCCTAACAGCCTTCAAGGGAGCTGTAATCATTACTGCTGTATGACAGATGGAGAAACTGAGGCACAGGGAGGTTAGGTAACTTGCGCCAGGTCATAAAGCCAGGGAAAGAGGTGGTGCTGGCTTTGAACCTGTGCTGCGAGACTTCAGAGCCTCAAACTCTGGTCTCCAAGTGTCCCCCTTTCAACCCAGACTTTGGAAATCAGCAGACAGCATACACTCACTTAAAAAAAAAAATGAGAGCCGGTCTCGGTGGCTCAGCCTGTAATCCCGCGCCTTTGGGAGGCTGAGGTGAGTGGATTGCCTGAGCCCGCGGGTTCGAGACCCACCTGGGCAACTTGGCGAGACCTCATCTCTACAAAAAAAAATCAAAAAATCAGCTGGGCGTAGTAGCGCACACCTGTTGTTCCAGCTACTTGGAAGGCTGAGGTGGAAGGATCACCGGAGCCCAGCAGGTCGAGGCTTCAGTGGGCAGGAGTAGCCACTGCACTCCAGCCTGGGTGACAGAGTGAGACTCCAACTCAAAAATAAAATAAAATATTAAAAATATATATATATATTAAAAAAAAATGAGGGTTATGAAAGTGACATTAGGAGTCATAGAGTCTCATGGTTGTGCTTTCTCTCGAAGTTTATACAGCAACCAGATCACTGATGTTGGAGCCAGGTACGTCGCCCAAGTCCTGGATGAATGCCAGAGCCTCACGCACCTCAAGTAAGTGGGGACGGCGTGCAGGGTCCTTGGAGACGTCTCTTGGCCACCCCTTGCGTTATTCAAAGAATAAATGTCACTGTAAAGAGCTTTCGCCCTAAAACCCTCTGCTTGCCCCAGGGCCATGTGGGTCACATTAAGAAGGAGACCTGTGTGTGGAAGGTGAGCCGCCATGTGGAAGAACTGTGACCCGTGGGTGAGGCTCAGACCCTGGAAGGGCTACCTGCCATTGGTGGGGGGAAAGCCTGGCGTTTTGATTTCATTAACTACTGACTGACGGGATGAGAGGCCTGAACTATTACCCTTTCTGGGGTGCGAGAGAAAAAGGCCCTTTTCCTCCAAGGGAATTAATTACCCATCTGGCTGCAAGCAACTGCTGGGTGCCTTGCCCTGTCATAGACGTGCCCTGGCAAGGGTGACAGAGCACCAGGTGTGGAGCCTCTGGGCCCACCCTGGCGATGGCCACACGCACCTTGGCCACTGACAGTCCAAGCGGGACTCCCAGGCCTGTTGATGAGGGTGAGGGATGCTCCTGGGGTTACCTGGAGGCCCCCAGGGAGGGCTCAGCTCCCTGAGTTTCTGCAGAGGCCGCGGGCCTTCTGGAGAGGGATCCTGCCCGCCTGTCCTCAGGGCTTCCGGTCTCTCCCCAATAGGAGGCCCAAGCGTGGCTCTTGTGGGTCCCCGGAGAAAGACCGTATCTCCCAAAGGGGCGCTGGAGAGGCTCTGTGTTGGGGAAGAGGGCAGCCCATGGCGGAGCCCTGCAGAGCTGGAGGCTGACTGTGTGTGACTCTCCGCAGACTGGGAAAAAACAAAATAACCAGCGAAGGAGGGAAGTGTCTGGCCCTGGCTCTGAAGAACAGCAGGTCGATCTCTGAGATTGGGTGAGTGGAAGGGAGCGCATGCCTGTGGGCGTCACACAACCTGCTGCTGGTCCTTTTGCACATCGGCAGACCAGACGGACCGCTGGGTCTAGCTGTGGGGAAGGGGCAGCAGGCAGCTCTCACCAAGGGTGCCCCAGCGGCTTCTGTAGGGCCACATTGTGGGGAGTCCCAGGATTGACTGCAACTCTGACTGCACAGGCTATAGTTAAGTCATGCGGAAGTCAGTATCATCACCACCAGCAAAGGGAGGGGGCTGTCCTAGCCAGACATGGTAGTATCTGCAGACAGATGTTCTTTAGTTTAAGAATATGATCTTGGCCGCATACAGCGGCTCATGCCTGTAATCCCAGCACTTAGGGAGGCTGAGGCGGGTGGACTGCTTGAGCCTCAGAGTTTGAGACCAGCTTGGACAACATAGCGAGACTTTGTCTCTACAAAAAATAAAAAAATAGAAAAAAATTAGCCAGGTATGGTGGTGCACACCTGTAGTCCCAGCTACTCGGGTGGCCGAGGCAGGAGGATTGCCTGAGCCCGGAGGGTTGTGGCTGTGGTGAGCCGTGATTGTGCCACTGCACTCCGTCCTGGGCGACAGAGTGAGACTTTGACTAAAAAAAAAGAAGAATATGATCAGTCCCTCTGGGTGCCTTGTTTTTCTTTAATTTTTTAAAATTGTGGTAAAAATATACATATCACATATAATTATATAATATAGTATATAACATTTAATATATATGTTATATATAACATATACTATCTTAGTCATTTTCAATTGCATAGTTCAGTGATGTTAAGTACATCCATATTCTATACAACCATCACCATCATCCATCTCCAAAAGTCTTTTCCTCTTGCAAAACAGAAACTCTGTGCCCATTCATCAATAACTCCCTATTCCCCCTCCCTGCAGCCCCTGGCAACTACCCTTCTGCTTTCTGTCTCTATGGTTCTGACCTTGGTTCTGACCTAGGTACTTCATAAATGGAATCATGCAGTATTTGTTGTTTTGTGATTGGCTTATTTCACTTAGCATAATGTCCTCAAAGTTTGTCCTTGTTGAAGCATGTGGCAGGATTTCCTTTCTTTTTAAAACTGAATGATACTCCGTTGTATGGATATACCACATTTTGCTTGTCCATTCATCCAGTGATGGACACTGGGTTGCTTCCGTGTTTCAACTGTAGTAAATAACATCGATATGAACATGGGCACACAACTATCTCTTGGAGGTCCTGCTTCCCATTCTTTAGGCTATATACCCAGAAGTGGGATTGCTGGATCATATGATGATTCTATTTTTAATTTTTTGAGGAACTGCCATACTGTTTTCCACAGCAGTTGCACCATTTCACATTCCTACCAACAACAGTGCACAGGGTCCCAATTTCTCCACATCCTCACCAACACTTGTTGTTGTTGGTGTTTTTGATAGCAGTCATCCTACTGTGAGGTGGTATCTCCTTCTGATTTTGATTCTCAAGGCTTTTAAAGCTTTTTGTATCAGTATCATTTTCTGATGGATTACAAAGGAACATGGGTAATTTTATTTGGAAACTATGAAAAGGAATTAAAGTTGTCTTCTGGGAAGATAATTATTGTTAACACTTGAGGTCAGTTAACTCTACCACTTTCTCTTCCTCTCTCTGAACTGGTTTTTTTAATATAGTAAAGGTCAAGCTATGTGTACAGAATCTTATCCCAGTTTTCCTCTTTATTACAAATTTGATGCCATTCAATTGTATACATATACTTTTTTTTTTTAAAGCAAAACACTGAAAACTCTTATTCTGGGTTTTACAAGCCACACCTGGAAGGTTGTAGGCCGGGAGCTTGCTTGGGGCGTGCGTGTTGGAAGCCGGCCATGGTGCTGTTGGGTGGGCCAGCAGGCTTGCTTTACTCTGTGTAGACATGCCTCCTTATCCTGTGAGGAACAGCTGGCACTTTGTGTGGGCCAGGCGCGGCTCTAAGTGCTTTGCATTTATTAGCTCAGTGAATCCTCCCACCAACTCTATGAGGGAATGTGCTTATTATCCCCATTTTACAGCTGAAGAGACTGCGGCCCAAGGGGTTACATAATCTGCCTACATTCATACAGGTAGCAGGTGGTGGAGCCAGGATAGGAGCCCGCCATCTTTCCATACAAATGGTTTTAGCAAGAACCTCTCAGATGGTCTGCCTAGGGGAGAGAATGCAGCTCTGTCACCACAGTTCTCCACCAAGACAGCAGCGGTTTGTTTGGTAACATCCTCTCTATGTAAAAGGAACGTGGCTGACAAGGTTTTTGAACCTACTTCCTGATCTTGCTTCGTGGATGATCGTGTCTTCAGGAACATCTCTGACTCCTGCCCAGAGCTGAATAGGTGCTGGGAACCGAGCACCGAGACAGCCTCTCCTTCAGACTGCTGGGCATAGGCTCCCAGACTGAGTCTTGGGTGAGACTAGGTCACCAGTTGTGCAGCTTGCCAGGGAACTTCTCCCAAGGCCTCCCCTGCTCGCCATTTTCTGTTGCCTTTTGCATTTGAACCCAGAGCAGCCCACTAGGGGCACAGTGTGAGGACTTTGTGCCCAGGCCACCACTCCCGCGACCGAGCAAAAATGCTTGTTGAGAATGAATCAAGGGGAGGCCACAGGCAGAAAATAAGGGGTGAGTGTGGCTGTGCTTTGGAGGTGCTAATGCTGACGGTCTTGCCTCTGCCCGCAGGATGTGGGGCAATCGAATCGGGGACGAAGGAGCTAAAGCCTTCGCAGAGGCTCTGCAGGGCCACCCCAGCCTGGCCACCCTGAGGTAACTGGTGTCTCTGGGGCCAGCTTGTTCACTTCCAGTGAAGGAGCTGAGGGGGTGAGGGTGACTGGCTTTCCTAACAGGAGAGGGGTTTGCGTGTGTGATTTTTCTTTCTCTTTTAAGACTTCTTTTTAAATTGATACATAAGAGGCATATAGTTCAGTACATTACTCTTGAATGTTTAGCTCAATTAATTTTGCATACGAGATCCAACAATTAGGTTCACGAATCATCCTAGAAAAAGTGCTACATGCCTCATTGCTGAATATCACCACAGTCATCTTCAAAGTACTCCCCTTGGAAAGCTAGGCAGCGATGCCAGCACCTAGTCCAGCTGTCAGAGCAATTTTGGAACTCTTTTTCTGGAGTGGCCATCAGAGTTAGTTGTCATTAGTTATTGAGGTGTGACAGTTAAGCTCATGAACTTGCCACTGTGCGCTTACGTTAGTAGCACAAATAACTGTATTGGAACACCCTCCCTGCTTACCTGATTTGGCCCCCATAGCTTTTTTCTTTACCCAAAGATAAAGGAAATCTTGAAAGGAAAACATTTGATGACATTCAGGACACCAAGGGTAATACGATGATGGGTCTGATGGCCATTCTAGAAAAAGAGTTCCAAAATTGTTTGGAAGGGTGGACTAGGCACTGGCATTAGCTCATAGCTTCCCAAGGGGAGTACTTTAAGAGTGACCATAGTGATATTCAGCAGCGAGGCACTTTTTTCTAGGATGAGTTCACGAACTTAAGTGTCAGACCCTATATGTCCACACCAGTGTAACCACCTCCCAGTTCAAGATGTAAGACATTCCCAATCCCTCAGTTACTTCCCCATTCCCTTTGGGAGTGGGAGGAGGGTTTCCTAAGTCCATATGAAACTTAATGGAACACTGGCCGGCAGATTCCTGTCCTTTCCTTGTTCTCAGGATAGTCCTGGAACAGAGACTCTTTCCTAGCTTCTTTAGGCCTCTGGCGAGCCCTGGGGCTTTGATATCTTCAAGGCTCTGCCTCTGCCCTTCCTGCCACCGAAAAAGAGTCCAAGAAGGTGGGGACAGTAGCAGAAGAGCCTGACCAAGGTCTCTCTGATGGGGCACCTTGGAAATGCCAGTCCTCTGAAGCAGGGCTCACCGGGCCTTTTCAGCCTCCAGCCTGTACGTAAAAACCCCAGACACTGAACCTAGTCCCCTGTTCTGTGAGCAGGCCTCGCTGGTGTCCCGTTTTCTGTCTGGCCTGCCCGCATACTCTATGTGTGGGCTCTGGGCCAACAGCTCCTGGGCCCTGCTGACACGGCCGGGCACTGCTGCTTCCTGCCTCGAGTCAGCCTGGACAGGTGCCACGTCTAGGCAGACGCTTCCCAGCTGTTTTGGTGTTGAGGCCAAGAGTGCATGTGGACATCTCTTCTAACTCACCCCATGTGTTTTCCTTCCCAGCCTCGCATCCAACAGCATCTCCACAGAAGGCGGAAAGAGCCTTGCGAGGGCCCTGCAGCAGAACACGTCCCTGAGGATATTCTGGTAATAGCCAGGGTCATTTTGCAGGTTGAGGCCTCAGGAATCATTCCTGGGGCTATGGCCTGGATCCTAACGGAAGAGGTGCCCCTCAACTGGAAAGGCTCTCGTCTTTCGAAGCCAGCTTGAGAATTTCTTCCTAGAGAAGAAAATAGCCATTCCCAGAAGTACAGGCGGGTACGGGAGGAGCAGTGGGTCCCAGGAGCACAGGGCTGAGGCCTTAGCCTTTTCTGTCACCCCAGGCCCCAGGAGAACCAGAAGGCCAGCTCCACAGGCTGTCGGGTGTCCTCAGAACATCCTCAGGTGTGCTTGGCAGAGGCCTGCTTTCATGCACCAGGCTCATGGTTTGCTCCCTTCCCCGTCAGCTGCCTCCTCCTCCCACGCAGCCTCCTCCCTTCCCAGTCCTCCATGTCAGGATTTGACCTTCTTGTTCCACCCAGTTCACCTGTCACCTGTCACTTAACATTGGAAGCCCACAGTCCTCACTCTTTCTCTGCACTCCAGAGCACTTATTAAGTGTGTGTTGTCTCCCGAGGGTGTTTTTTGTTCATGTTCTTTTTTGCGGGTCATTTAATCTCTCATTTTTCTTGATTTGTTTTTTATTTACTTGCCTTTGTCATGAATTCCTTCTTTGTCATGAACTTAGACCTCATTCGATTTTGCTAAATTAGTGACTGAAGAGAGTGAAATGTTGTTTATTCTTTGATGACACTAGACCTGCTGGCTTGAGTGCATTTTTCATTTTTTCCTCTTAAAGACATCTTTAACATTTTGAAAAGTAATCTGTGCTTTTTGGGAAAAAAAGTAAGACACCGAAGTCTAAAAAGCAGGAAGTGAAAGTACCTCCTTCGTGTTTTCTAAAAGAACCTTTTCCTTCTAGCCTTTTATTCTGCGGGTATTCAAATATATGCAAAATAGAATAGCATTTAGCAAATAATTTTTAAAAATATATCTCAGCCACGTATTGTATGTGTCTTACGTGTTCCTTTATGTCAGGGTTGCTCAGTCTTGACACCGTTGACATTTGGGACCAAGTGATTCTTGGCTGTTAGGGACCCTCCTATGGTAGGATGTGTAGCAGCATCCTTGGCCTGTATCCCCCTCCCCGATGACTGCGACACTTAAAGATGGCTCCAGTCATGGCCAGGTGTCCCATGGAGAGTGGAGTCACCCCAGTTGGGAACCATGCTTTACGTGCATAGTAACGTCAGTACCCAGGACTGCTTGAGTGCCGACTGACTGTGCCATGCATTACGCTGGGCCTTTTACATTCATTAACCAGTTTCACAACCACCCTGTAAGATCTATACTATGACTGTTCACATTCAGTGATGAGAAAACTCGGACCTAGGGAAGTGAAACTCTTTGCCCAAGCTCACTCTGCTATTGAGAGACACAGACCCGGCAAGGCTGACTCTAGGGCACTCTTCCAGGCTGCATCTTCTCCTTTTATCTTGGGCCTCGGACTACTCTCCGTGGGCTGCACAATGGCCCACCGAGTGTGTGATCACAATTTGTTGTATCAGTTGTTTCCATTGGTGGATACTTAAACTTGTTCACATTTTGCGTCATGACAGACAATACCACAGTGTACACTGCGGTGTCGTGAGTAAATCCTTGTGTGTATATCTTTACAAACTGTAGGGCAAATTTTTAGAAATCTAATTGTCATGAAGTGAAACACATTTCAAATTTGGATAGCTACAACCCAATTGTCCTTCAAGGAATGAATTTTTAAAATGTTCTTTCTGTTCCATTCTTCTTACTAATGATTCTTTCATCCACTGGACAAGAGGATCCAACTCTGTTTACACCAAGGAGTTTTGGTGCTTTACCCAGAACACCTTGGGTACTGGGCTTGCTCTAGAAACAAGCCCGTTGACCTTCTGCTGCGGGGTTGAGAGCTGGGCTTGACCTGGCTGCCAGCTGGGTTCTCGGCAGGTGAGCAGCGCCCCAGGCCAGGATCTGTGCCTGCCAGTCCTTCAACGGTGGCTGCCAAGTAGGTTCTCCTGAGTAAACACTTCCTTTTTTTCCTAGGCTGACCAAAAATGAACTCAATGATGAAGTGGCTGAGAGTATGGCAGAAATGTTGAAAGTCAACCAGACGCTGCAGCATTTATGGTAACTCAGAACTCTTTCCAATTTCAGACTGCTATTTTTCAAAAATATGTTTTGAGATAAAACTTACACACTATAAAATTCACCATTTTACAGTGTACAATTTGGAGGTGTTTAGTATAGTCCCAAGATTGTGCAACCATCACCATCTAACTCTAGAACATTTTTACAGCCCCTCCCTGCCAAAACTGCAGCCACTCCCCTTCCTCCCCTCCCCCAGTTTCAGAAACCACTAATCTGCTTTCATCTCTATAGGTTTGCCTACTCTGGGCACTTCACATAAATGGAATCATACAATATGTGACCTTTGGTCACTGTGTTCTTTCACTAGCAATTTTCAAGTGCATTTACACTGTAGCCTGTATCAGTACTTCACTGATGGATAACAGGAGAACCCATTGTATAGAGAGTTCACATTTGTTTTTTCCACCAGTTGAGACATTTGGGTCGCTTCTGCATTTTAACTGTTATGGATAATGCTATTGTGAACATTCACACACATGTTTTCATGTGAATGCATTTTCTTATTTCTGTTGGGCATATACTTAGGAACTGAATTGCTGGGTCATATGGCAACTCTCTGGTTAACTTTCTGAGGATCACCAAGCTGCTTTCTAAAGTGGCTGCACTGTTTTACAGTCTCACCAGCAGTGTAAGTTCCAATTTCCTCACATCCTCACTAAACATTTGCTATTATCTGTCTTTTTTAATTTAACCACACTAGCAGGTGTGAAGTAATTTCATATTGTGATATTATAATCCTCCCGAGTTGGGAGGATTGCTTGAGCCTAGGCATTCAAGATCAGCCTGGGCAATGTAGCGAAACCTTGTCTCTACAAAAATTTTTTTAAAAAATTAGATGAGTGTGATGGTGCACACCTGTAGTCCCAGCTACTCGGGAGGCTGAGGTGGAAGGACAGCCTGAGCCTAGGAGGTTGAGACTACAGTGAATTGTGATCATGCCATTGCACTTCAGTCTGGGTGACAGAGCTCAAAAAAAAAAAAGAAAGAAAAAGAAAAAAAAATGATTGCCTAATCCAAGATCATAAAGATTTACACCCTAAGTTTTCTGCTAAGTTTTCTAGTTGTGCCCTCACATTTAGTTCTGCCATTTATTTTGAGTTACTTTTTGTTCACAGCGTAGAGTAGGGACTCTGACTTCGTTCTTTGGCATGTGGCTCTCCAGCTGTCCCAGCGCCATGTGTTGAAAAGACTCTCTTTCCCTATTGAATGGCCTTGACACCCTTGCCAAAAATCAATTGACCATAAAGGTATGGGTTTATTTCTGGATTCTCTCTTCCAGTCCATTGATTTATATGTCTATCTGTATGCCAGGACCATTGTGTAGCTTTGTAGTAAGTTCTGAAATCAGGAAGAGGGAGTCCTCCAACTTTGTTCCTCTTTCTCAAGATCGTTTTGACCCTTTGGGGTCCCTTGCATTTCCTGTGAATTCAGGATCACCTTGTCAAGTTGTGCAAAAACAACCAGACTGTGCTATTTTTACCTGTTTTTTTTTTTTTCCCTCCATGCTTTCTAGTCTGAAGACTTTACTTATCCCTTCCTTGGGTACCAGGCCAGCCCCTCCAGGGACAGCATAGTAGGATAGGGCTAGAAAGAGTCTTGGCTGCTTGGTGCATGCATAGCCCATGGTGGACAGGGGTGCCTGGACACTGCCAGGCTTTTAGGCATGCTTCTCTTTCCTGGCCCCTTACCAGATCTTGGCTGGGGTAGCCTGCCCTGCCCCTGGCAAGGTGTTTAGGTGGTGGTGGCAGAGGCAGCCACTGTGAGGGTGGTGATAGGAAAACAACAGAGTTTAACTGAATGCAGAACTCTGTGCCCACTTCCAGGTTCTGTTTTGTTCCTTATGAAAAAATGTCCAGTCACAGCTGTGGTTGTGCTCACTGGAAGGTCATCACTTCTGCCCCTGAGCCCAGGAGTCCTAGTCCTTGTGGCTGCCACCCAGCTGCCAGAGGTCCTGTGTGCTCGGGTGGTAGTTGGTAACCAGAGCTCCCATCCTCTGGGCACTGAGCCTAATAAACAAGTTGAAACACCAAGCTCCCCTTGTGGGGGACACTCTTGTAGTTATTCTCATTTTACAGATGGGGCAACCAAGGCACAGGTGGATATGTTTATGTCTTCAGTGGTTCTGCTGCTGAAAGGTGGGGGTTGGGGGGATGGTGAGAGGAGCCTGTCACTGCTCCATGATGGCACTGCGTGATACTGCCTCTCGAAGGGCAGGCCTCTCCCACTAAATTTCCACAGCCTCGTCAGTCACCACAGCGCAGGCCCTCATCTTCCTGGTAGGCCTGACTTCTTGAGTCAGTGCCCAGGATTTCTAAGGGGTAGATTTGGCAGCAGCCTGTTCGACAGTCAGCCGGGCGTGGGGTGTGAGCCTGTGCTGACGTGCAGACACGCTGCTGCCTCTGCTGCATTGATGTCTTGATCGGGTTCGATGTGTCGCCACCAGGGCAGCGTCTTGGGAGTGGCATCCCGGCCACATCTGAATCCTTTGTTTCATTTGGATCCTGGCTACCTGAGAGACCCACAAGAACTGTTGCTCCTCTCTCCCTCTCACCTGTTGGAGAGGACATGGTGCCATCTTTGGAGCCTTTGACGCCTCCAGAGAAGAGAATGACCAGTTGGCAGCTACTTCGCTTTAAAAACTGCCTTGCCTTTCCTCAGCCACCTGGAGGGAGATGTCAGGCTGCCTGTTCCCGTGATGATGTGTTTCTTAGAATCTGCTTTTTAGACTGATGGATTCCAGACTTTAAAGAAAATTTTTGTTTTGAGTCAGGGTCTTACTCTGTCACCCAGGCCAGAGTGCAGTAGCACACTCATGGCCACACAGTCGCGACCTGCTGGGCTCAGGCCATCCTTCCATCTCAGCTAAGTAGCTGGAGCTACAGGAGTGCACCACCACGCCAACTAATTTTTTTAATTTACTGTAGAGAAAAGGTTTCGCCAAGTTCCTCAGGCTGGTCTTGAATCCCTGGGCACAGGCAATCCTCTGCCTCAGCCTTCCAAAGTGCTGGGATTACAAGTATGAGCCACCACACCAGCCTCTAGATATTTTTGATTGAGCACCTCTGCAATGAAAAATGTCAACACACACATCCATTCATGTATTACACCATCTACATGTGAATACACAGATATATTATGCTCACTGTAAAAATAAACATTACACAATTTTAAAGCTATCCTCCATTCTAGTAGATTTGTTCTAGATCTTTCAGCCAGATGAAAAGTCACATGGACTCAGTTTTTCCTCTGACCACCTTACTCTATCCCACCAAACCCTTACAGCTCCATGATGAAGGGGGCAGATTTGATCCGGTGTACATGTGACACAAGGTATCTTCTTCTTTCAGGCTTATCCAGAATCAAATCACAGCCAAGGGGGTTGCCCAGCTGGCAGATGCATTGCAGAAGAACACCGGCATAACGGAGGTTTGGTAAGACCCTTCCCTACCACCACCACTTGTCACCATATTAACAACAATGCTTATTTACTCAGCACCACTGACTCTGTGCCGGGCACAGTGCAGGGTGCCTTCCATTTACTCTTCCAACAGCCTAGTCAAGAAGTGATATTATCTCCATTTTACAGATGTAGACACTGAAGCGCAGACTACTGAAGTCAGACTTGCCCAAGGTCACCACGGGAGGAGAGGCTAGAATTCAGCTCAGACCTCCTGACAGTAGTCTGTGCTCTCCTGCCTGGGACTCCACCCTGGTCTACCTTCATGGGGTAGCATGGAGGGAAATTGCCTCTGGAAGCATTTCTTAACTAAAAATCAGTCACCTGGGACTCCCAAGACTGAGACGAGTCTGGAGCTTGTTCTTCCCCTTTCTGGGCTTCCTGAGACACTTCCAAGTGGATTTGGACTGACTGACGCTCTTTCTCTCCTTTTTTCTGCTTTGAGAGCTTCCTTATTCTAGTGGACGAAAGTCATTTCATATACTTGACTACAACATGGCGCCTCTTCCACTTCTTTCTTGCCTCCTACAAGGCACACGCACCCCAACTTAGCAGCCCCCTTAGTCATTTAATTGCCTGGGTGAGAGAGGACTGGGTTGAAACTGGGAATGGGCCCTGTAGAGTTTTCTGATGGAAAAAAGTCACCACATGTGTACACCTGCTTTATGCTGGGCACTGTGTTAGGGGCTGGGCATGTGGCAGTTAATGTGACAGAAGGGGCCCAGACTGCTTTAAAATGCTCTGCTGCGTGCAGGCGCGTTGGGGAGGCGTTGGGCCCAGGCTGACGTAGAAAGGCGCCCATCCCTCAATGCCCCCCGCTACACCGGCCCCTGAGCCGTGATGCGAGCGTGGGTCCTCCTCTCCGCGGTGCTCTGGTACCTCACAAGAGTTGGATGGCCTCGTTTTTCTATATTCGAAGAGGATGGCTCTGCTTATGGCAAGCCAGCCTACCCAGTGAAAATATATATAAGATTACATCAAAATAGCCCAGTCCTTAACTGTATGGATTTAAAACTTGCTAAAAAAGAAATGGTTGATCCCACCTACTTATGGATTGGGCCTAATGAAAAGATGTTAACAGGAAATAATCGAATAAGTATAACTAAAACCGGAAAGCTGATGGTAAAAGATTTTCTGGAGCCTTTGTCTGGACTTTACACATGTTTTCTTTTCTCTTTTGTTAAAAAAGGTTTATTTATTTATTTTTTAATTATTATTTTTTATTTCTGTTATCAATATTTTTTATTATGATATTGTGGGGTACAGTTAAGGGTTAGGTATACAAATATGCTTCATTCAGGCACTCTTATTGATAAGAAGTGTCTCCCCATCCCCAGAGAGATATTTACTACCATTAATCCCATCTCCCTTCCCCTCCCCCCCATAGTTTTCCA